TGTAGTCTCTGCTCTGAAGGCAGCCTTCAGAGGGCATCAATAAGTAACCACTCCCTTCCTTTATTTGTAATATGGCATTTTCAGCCTAATTTTCAGACATAAAAGTCTCAGGAACTGATGGGGGCTAAAAGTTAGGACAGAGAAACTTTGTGGCTTTGTGAAACCAAACAGCAGCACCTCCAAAAGCCACGGATTGCTGAGAGCAGAGCAGGGCCTGGCTGCAGTGAGCTGGTGTGGGAGGCAAGGCCCTGGAGCAGTGGGTGCCCTGTTCCCCCCCAGGTTACAAGACAGATCCATGAGCATGAGCAGGAGAACGAGCTGCGGGAACAGATGTCAGGATATAAGCGGATGCGGCGCCAGCACCAGAAGCAGCTGATCGCCCTGGAGAACAAGTTGAAGGCCGAGATGGACGAGCACCGCCTCAAGCTGCAGAAGGAGGTGGAGACACACGCCAACAACTCGTCCATTGAGCTGGAGAAGCTGGCCAAGAAGCAAGTGGCTGTGATGGAGAAGGAGGTGAGTGCTGGGAGGGTCTGAGGGACAGGAGAGCCCGGGTTTGCTGCTCAAACCCGTGGTCTGAGGTGCAGAATGAGAGGACAAAGTGTTAAACTGCCCCAAGGGAAATTTAAGTTGGATGTCAGGAAAAAGTTTTTTACACAAAGCACTGGAATGGTCTGCCTGGGGAGGTGGTGGAGTCACTATCCCTGGATGTGGTACTCAGTGCCATGGTTTAATTGAGATGTTAGGGCTGGGTGGAACTGAATCACCTCAAAGGTCTCTTCCAGCCTGGTGATTCTGTGACCTTGTGCTCTCTCAAGCAGCCTCACGTCACCTTCCTGGCTGATGGGCGCTCTGTTGGCATCCACCAGTGCCACAGCTGCATAAAAGGGGCTGTGGGGACCTTGGTGGGAGCTTTGCCTCAGCTGAGGGGGTGACAAAGCTGTCACTCAGTCTAAAAATCAGCACATTAATAAAATGGTGTGGTTGTGCTCTCTGGGGTGGCTTTGGTGGGGAGGTGAGAAGCACAAGGAAGCCCTCAGAGCTATGTGAGCATTCTCTCTGTGAGCAGCTGTCCTGTGGCTGAGTGCTCATGGCTTTGCCTAGCACAGTCACCAAAATGACTGACCAAAAATCAGAAACCACAACAATAATTTGTGCTGGATTCTGCACCTGCTCACTCACCTTTTTTTCTTTTTTTTTTTTTTTTTTTTTTTTTTTTTTTTTCCTCTCTCTGTACATTGCAGGCAAAGGCAGCTGCAGCAGATGAAAAGAGATTCCAGCAACAGATTTTGGCTCAGCAAAAGAAAGACCTGGCGACCTTTTTAGAAAGTCAGAAGAAACAATACAAGCTTTGCAAGGAAAAGATTAAAGAGGCAAGGAACTCTCATTTTCAGGGCTGAAGGGGTGTGGAATGAACACAAACCACTCTTTTGTTTTGATAAACCTGGGCCAGCCCAGGGGTTTAAGGGATACTGTCAGGCTTGGAAGCAAATTTTGGATTCTCAGCAAGTAAATTTTCAGGAGCTGGGAGCATCTGGCAGCATTTCCAGAACAATTTGTGAGGGTGGCTACAGGTGTTTCACAATTTGCTGTAGAGCAGAATCTTTGAAACCAAGGGTGATGAGGGAAAATGGGACTTCACAGAGAGTTCTTCTTCCCCTTTCTTTCTCCTCATCTGCTTTTTTCTTTCAAGTAATCAGAGCAGCCATTCAGTGTCCCCAGCCTAAAAGCCCTGTGATCAGTTACATGAATTAGGAAGAGAAATAACTTCTAATGTACCAAAATGCATTATTTAACTTGTATCTTCACCATATTGCAAAAATAATTGGCTGTTTAAGGTAAAGGTGAGAAAATTATTATCAAGGAGCTCTGTGGCCACTTTTCCTCCTACTCTTGGTGTGGGTGCTGGTTCAGCTGTAGGGGCACAGGGCTGAGCATGGCCAGGTGTCAGGTTCTGGTTCTGTTGGTTTGTGGTGGGATTTTGGTGTCCTTTCATGGCCTGAGTGGCAGAGGAGGAGCCAGCAAGGTCCCCCATGTCCTGTGTCACTGTGGTGCTGAGGAAAGCCTTGTTTTCACCCTGCAGGAAATGAATGAGGACCACAGCACACCCAAGAAAGAGAAGCAAGAAAGGATATCCAAACACAAAGAGAACCTGCAGCACACACAGGCTGAAGAGGAGGCCCAGCTTCTCAGCCAGCAGAGACTCTACTACGACAAAAACTGCCGATCCTTCAAGAGAAAAACGATGATCAAGAGGCACGAGATGGAGCAGCAGAACATTCGGGAAGTATGGCACTCCTCACTTCTCTCACAGCCTGCTTTAACTGCTTTAGCTTTGTGTCTTGGCTGGTTAGGTCTTCATGTTTCTAGTTGCTAAATAGAATTGAGAAAAATGTAACAAAATACGTTTTGGGAAATGGTTTTCCCTGCAGCTGTGGCTGCTTTGATCAGATGAGGGATGGCAGACAGAAGCACCCTGTGGGCCCCTCCTCTGGGCCTGATGCCTCATCCCAGCTCCTGAGTGTTGGGTTTGGGGGTCCTGCCCCAGTTTGGGCTGTGGGGAGAGCTGTGGGATGAGGGAGGATATGGGCTCTCAAGGGGCAGCTTTTCACACCCTGCTTCCCCTCGTTGGTTTTTGCCCCTTGCCTCAAGGCTGCCTGTGGTCAAACATCACTTCAGAGAAAGCTTCCACATGGAGATGTTCCTGTGGCCATCACTGTAGTATCTGAGTTCCTCATGGATGTTATTTTTGGATAGAGATTGTCAGATGAGAGGTTGTTTTAGTGAAAACGGAGTGAGGAGTGGTCAAAAATTTCCCATTGTGTTTGGCCTGCTATCCTCAGGCTTTCCAGTATCATTTGTGCTTGTTCAGAGCTTTGCTGCCCTTGGGTCCAGATGTGCCTGGGGCTGCTCAGCTGCTTTGCTGAGATCCAGATATCTCAACCCAGGCACCTCAAAACTATTGATTCCAGAAATTCAGATTTGAGCACCCATGTCCCAGCATGTCAGCTCTGTGGCAGGGATGAGAACAGAGTTCAGTGACCTAGCATGGCATTTAACAGGAACACACCTCTGACCTCCTGCATTTAAGCTCTTAGGAGAGACCTAATTGTCAGAATGATCTGAGTTTTTATTCCCTGAAAATTGCATCCCTACTGGTTCAAATGTGCCAGTACTAACTACTTGGATCACCTGAAGTAAATAACACTTTCAAGATGTGTTTTCCATATTTTAAGTAACCACAGATGTTGTTTTTGTGCAAATGGGAAAGTGTTTGAAGGAAGTGGAATGACTGTGTGTGTTTATGCTGTGTGAACTGAAATCAGGTTGGAACAGGCTTGGTAGAGGCTGGCTGAGCTGCCCTGGGATGAAGGCACTTGTGCTACAGCTCCGTGCCTAGTCAGTGCCCCACCTGCCTTTGGGAAGTCATTTTGGCACACCAGTAGCTGTAAATTTTAATTTTGCCTATCAGGGGTCGAGTTTTGCTTAAATGTGAACACATACTACATTTGAGACACAAATGACACAGATGTGTGCAGGAATCAGGGAGGGAACTGGTGTCTTTCCCTTCTGGGCTTGTGGCTTGGGGGTGGTTATCCCAGACTGTGCAGGAGCTCTTGGTGAGCACTGCAAAACCAGTCTCGTTTTAAAAATGAGCTGCGCCTTGTGCCAAATCCCACCTGGACAATTCACCTTCTCACCTGAGGAGGTGTTAGAGCCACTGACTTCTGCCTTGGCCACTCCAGTGCAGGTGATGGAGGGGGGAGCTCGTTCCCAGTACCCACCGGGGAATTTAAACCAGACAAGAGCCCCAATTCCATCACCCTGAGCACCTGGGATGTGTTCAGTGAAAGCTGCTGCGAGTTCCTGCAGGCACCCAGGGCTTGTGTGGGGTCCTGGTGCCACCTGCTGGGGACTCCCGGGGCCATCCCAGAGCAGGGGAGGGAGGGAGGGATGGATGGATGGATGGATGGAAGGAAGGAAGGAAACTCAGTGGTCACTCCTAGCATGGATGGATGGATGGATGGTCACTCAGCAGTCACTCCTAGTATGCATGGATGGTCACTCAGTGGACGCTCCTAGCATGGATGGATGGATAGATGGATGGTCACTCAGTGGTCACTCCTGGCATGGATGGATGGTCACTCAGTGGTCACTCCTAGTATGGATGGATGGTCACTCAGTGGTCACTCCTAGCAGCCCATGGCGCTGCTGGGTTTGTGTTTCCCTGTGACACGCCAGNTGGATGGATGGATGCATGGTCACTCAGTGGTCACTCCTAGCATGGATGGATAGATGGATGGGTGGTCACTCCTGGGATGGATGGATGGATGGATGGATGGTCACTCAGTGGTCACTCCTGGGATGGATGGATGGATGGATGGATGGATGGATGGTCACTCAGTGGTTACTCCTAGCATGGATGGATGGTCACTCAGTGGTCACTCCTAGCAGCCCATGGCGCTGCTGGGTTTGTGTTTCCCTGTGACACGCCAGTCCCTGCAGCCGGCAGCGCCGTGGGCAGGAGCTGCAGCAGGGCTGCCCGCTCAGCTCTGTGTGTGTGTGTGCAGGAGCTGAACAAGAAGCGGACACAGAAGGAGATGGAGCACGCCATGCTGATCCGGCACGACGAGTCCACGCGGGAGCTGGAGTACCGGCAGCTGCACACGCTGCAGAAGCTGCGCATGGACCTGATCCGCCTGCAGCACCAGACTGAGCTCGAGAACCAGCTGGAGTACAACAAGCGGCGCGAGCGGGAGCTGCACAGGAAGCACTTCATGGAGCTCCGGCAGCAACCAAAGAACCTGAAGGTGCTGCCGGCTTCCCTTGCTCCTTCTCCAGCTTCCCTTGCTCCTCCTCCAGCCTCTGTCCTGGGCTGTGGGACCGCTGCTCTCCACACCCTGTGCTCTCCCTTGCATCCCCTCCCTTTGCACAGAGCAGCTCTGGATAAGGGAAGTTGTGGGCTGGGATAGGCCAGGGCTCACAGAGGGTTTTTACAGTGCTGTGCTAATTGAGGCTGTTGTAAAATAGTCCAGTCCTAAGCAAAGTGTTAGAGAATTTGTTTCTGACAAGCTGTGTGTTGTTCAGACCCTCACTCGTGTCAGCTTAGAATGATGAGGAGAGGAGGTTTGTGATGCTTTCAGAGTCCAGAGAGAACACAGAACACTCTGAGTGTGTGCTGAGCTCTGTGCTTGCAGACCTCTGAGCTGCTCTCTGTGGTAGAGACATGTTCTTCCTCCCAGTGTCACAGAATCACAGAATATCCTGAGTGGGAAGGGCTCTGCAGGGATCATGGAGTCCAAATTCCAATCCTGGACAGACAGCCCAGCAATCCCACCCTGTGCATCCCTGAGAGCATTTTCCAAATGCCCCTGGAGCTCTGGCAGCCTCAGGGCTGTGCCCATTCCTTGGGGAGCCTGGGCAGTGCCAGCACCCTCTGGGGGAAGAACCTTGCCCTGATACCCGGCCTCAAGCTCCCTTACACAGCTCCAGCTGTTCCCTGGGGTCACTGGTCACCAGAGAGAAGCACACTGCTGTCACTCTGTCACACCCTTGTGGGTTCCCAGGGCTGCAGCCTCCACATAATGCAAGGTTGAGCTGGGAAGGACATGCCAGGGGAATGATGCTGTGAAAAAGCAGATATGTTTTGGGAGGCAGGTGATGGGCTGGGTGATGTGCAGGAAGTGGGAAGTGCCCTGGGCTGAGGAGGGCTGAGGGGGTGCTGTTCCTGGCCAGGCTGCAGCAGGGTCTGAGCTGCTGCTGGTTAGTCCCTGTGGGAAGCATGCACAGGGGAGCTGTGGTTCCCACCACCCCACCCACGTGGACATACCACAGCCTCTCCATTCCCAAAGCCCTTCGTGCTCTTCACGTCGTTCCTTCCTTGGCAGGCTATGGAAATGCAGATCAAAAAGCAGTTCCAGGACACATGCAAAGTGCAAACTAAGCAGTACAAAGCACTGAAGAATCACCAGCTGGAAGTAACTCCAAAGAGTGAGCACAAGACAATTCTGAAGAGCCTGAAGGATGAGCAGACACGGAAGCTCGCCATCCTGGCCGAGCAGTACGAGCAGAGCATCAATGAGATGATGGCCTCGCAGGCGGTATGTGCAGGGGGCTCTGGGGGGACTGCTCCAGCCACTGAATTGGCAAAACTGTTTAAACAACACATCAGCTGCCACTTTCCCTCTTGGAATGAGTGTCCTGTGGAACACATGTCCTTCCTCTGCTCCCCTGGCGTGCTGGGGATTAGGATTGGATTTTCTGAGGCTCTGCCTCAGTGTGAGCAGAGCAGCTGCTGCTCATGAAGCCTTTTCTGCTTTCTTCCTCTGCCACCAACACCAGTGGCTTTGGGAAGAAAGAGTTGTGTGTGATTCGTGTGGGAGCAGAGGAATTCCCAGCAGGGTTTGTTTAAGCCTTGTTTTGCCCGTGCTCTCACAGCTCCGGCTGGACGAGGCCCAGGAAGCAGAATGCCAAGCCCTGAGACTGCAACTCCAGCAGGAGATGGAGCTGCTCAACGCCTACCAGAGCAAAATAAAGATGCAGACAGAAGCACAGCATGAAAGGGAACTCCAGAAGCTGGAGCAACGGGTGTCGCTGCGCAGGGCACACCTGGAACAGAAGGTACCTCCAGAGGGGGGTTTGGGACAAGGGAAGGGTGGAGCTGTGCTGGGGGCTGCTGACTCTGCTCATGTCAGAAGGGATTTTGGGGATACAGGGAACATGGATCTCAGCTGGGGGCTGCTGCCTGTGCTTGTTGATTTTGGGGACATGGAGCAGGGTGGAGCTGTGCTAGGGGCTGCTGGCTGTGCTCCTTGAGAGGGGATTTTGGGGATACAGGCTGGATCTGTGCTGGGGGCTGCTAGCTGTGCTCCTTGAGTGAGGATTTTGGGGATACAGGTGACATGCAGCTGTGCTGGGGGCTGGCTGTGCTCCTTGAGAGGGGATTTTGGGGACATGGGTCTGTGCTGGGGGCTGCTGGCTGTGCCTGTTGATTTTGGGGATACAGGGGACATGCAGCTGTGCTGGGGGCTGGCTGTGCCCCTTGCAGAGGGGATTTTGGGGGGACACGGGGAGGATGGATCTGTGCTGGGGGCTGCTGACTGTGCCCCTTGCAGATCGAGGAGGAGCTCGCCGCCCTGCAGAAGGAACGCAGCGAGAGGATCAAGTTCCTGTTGGAAAGGCAGGAGCGAGAGATTGAGACGTTTGACATGGAGAGCCTGCGGATGGGCTTTGGGAATTTGGTCACATTAGAATATCCCAAGGAGGACTATAGATGAGGTTAAATTTCTTTGCCATTTAAAAACAAAACAAAACAAAAAAAAACAAAACAAAAACCACAGAAAGCAAACCAAGTAAGGATAAAACTTGCAAACCCAACATTCCCCATGTTGACGGGCGTGCTCTCTCTCTTTCTGTCTCTCTTACTGACATCGTGTCGGACCAGTGCCTGTATATTCTTATCCATCAGGGGCCCCTTTCCCCCGTCACGTCCCGGTGCAGGACAGCTCCTGGCAGTCTTTTCCATAGTATGTCACAGTATTGATGTCTCTGTGCAATGATTAAAAATGTTTCAGTGAAAACTTTGGAGACAATTTTAATGGAGAAAAAAAAATATATATAAAAAAAAAAAGCCACCAAGTGGATGTATGTTGCTTCTAAGCAATCACTCATTTTACCACCAATCAATGAAAGTACAAGCAAAAAAATATTAATAATTAAAAGATATCTACGATCCCAGGGGGAGAGAGACTGAATCCGCAGCCTTACCTTAACTAGCTGCTGCATAATTTTATTTTATTTTTATTTTTTTGGTATTTATTCATCAGGAATAATTAAATAATAAAAAAAAGTTTTATTAAAGATTGAAAAAAAAATTTGATACATTTTACAGAAAAAAAAACTTAATCGTGCTGTACATATCAGTGGTGACATATTATTACTTTTTTGGGGTGGGGAGGGGAGGGTGACGACGTGGTGATTTTTAGGAGAACCATGCCAGGGGCAGCAGGGACAAGCCCTGGCCCCTGGGCATATTCTTGATTGTATCATAAATCATTTTCTGCTGTCGCAGAGAATGTGAATACACTTAAATGAGCCCACAGGATCCCAGTAGCACAAATTGGGCTTTGTCAAATCGTGTATTTTGTGTATAGAAGGAATTTAAGGAGAGCTTTTACTTATTTTCATATTGTATTTTAACTGTTTCTCTGATCAAAAATTTTTTTACTTCTTTCCCCCCCTCCCTTCCTGCTCCAGCCACCCCCCACTCTCCAGTTCTGTTCTGGAGCTCAACACTGTCTGTTAGATCATCCCAGCCCTTTTCAGTTTTTCTTTTATTTGGTTTTTTTTGGGGGGTTTTTTTTTGTTCCTCCCCCAAGTCCACCCCCAACCCCATGATCTTGGTCATAAATATTGCATTATTCACACTTTCAAACTGTGTATTTTCTTACAATAAAAAGAGAAAAAAAAAAGGCTTTACTTCTTTTGCATGCACTTTAAAAAAAAAACCAACAAAAAAAAAAGGACAAAAAAACCAACAAAACAACAAAAACATTTTTCAGGTTCCAGGGAAGAGCATGAATAACTGTCAGAGCTTTTAATTATATTTGTAAATAAAAGTGTTCATCACAATGCCTGGCTGTGTCATTGTGGGAGGGGTGGCTCGTGGCCCAGCACAGGTGCAGGGTGGGGATGGGGAGGGGACACATTCCACAGGTGTCCCATTCCACAGCTGTCCCGTTCCACAGCTGTCCCTCAGCCTGGGCAGGGCTTGGTCTCCTGGCACTGGAGGCTTTTAGAGTAATGGATTTTTTATTTTTTTATGTCCTCTGAGCAGTCCAAGGTGGATGAGCCTTGTGAGCCCTGCTGCAATATAACTCTGGTGGGCCTTGTGCTGGAGGAGCTGGGGCTGTTTACCTGGAAAACCACTGATCCTCTGGAAATGTTTTAATTGCTGAGCTGATAAAACTGCCCTGGGGTTTTATTTTCACAGGGTGCTGCTGATTCCTGTTTGTCAGACCAGGTCACTGCAGAGCTTTGATACAGCAGCTTCAAAAAAGGGGGGAAGGCTCCTGATTTTGTGAAGCTGAATTGCACTAGCTTCACCTTTTTTACCTTTTTACAGCCACCAGGCTCTACCAAAGGCTCCTTGCTGCTCTGGGCACTCAGGAGAGACCCCCAGGCCTCACTGGAGCAGCAGGAAGCACCTGGGACCTGCAGCTGGGCTGGGAAGTGGCTTCAGGTCAGGGAAGCTGGTGGTGCCCAGACTGATTGTTGGGGTGTCAGATGTGCTGTGGTAATGTGGGGGCTCCTATGTGCCCCCATAGGTGTGGGAGTGAGCGGAGATCCCCTGGGAAGGAACTGAAGGCTGGGAATGTTTTTGAGATGGAAAGACACGATGGCTTTGAGCCGTGTCCCTCCAGGAATGGGGAGCCCTGGCACAGGGTCCAGCCTCATCCCAGGAACACAACAGCACCCACTGCTCCCTGAGCACTGCCCTCATCCCCCCAAGAAGACAACCAAGCACACCAAGTACCTTGGAAGTTTTTAATTGCACTGTGAGCACAGGGCAGGGCACCACAGGACTGAACAGAACAAAGTGGTCTCAGCTTTGGGTGGCAGCAGAGAACAGAAGGAAACGCTCTAGGCCAGCTCCTGCCTCCCCTCGAGCTGCACCTTCACTACTGTAGTGGTGATGTGGAGGCACTGGCCAAATGTAGGAGAGGGGGAAAGAAAAAAAAAAAAAAAAGGGAGAAGTTTCCCTTGGACTGCCCTGTCCTCTCTTGGGAAAGGGAGTCTCCACAGCCAGCACCTGCCCCAGAGTTGTTGTGCACCCACACCCCTGCCACCTCAAGCCATGCCAAGACAGCAGAGACCCCCTGAACTGACACTAATTCACAAAGGCTACTGTTTCCCTTAAGCAGGTCAGTTTGGAGCCAGGGGCAGCTCTCTAGCTAGGATACCATGAGCATCAGCACAGGGACAGAGCAGGGACAGTGACAGTGACATTGTCAGAGCAGGACACTTGGCTTCAACTCATTAACAGAACACAACTGGAGCGCTGTGCCCAGCCCCACCGTGGGCCCTGGCCCTACTTCCCCGAGAGCTGCTCGTAGAGCTTGGGCACGTAATCGTCCCACTCGGCCTGGTAGCAGGTGCCCGCCA